GTTTGCATTATATGTAATCATTGGAATTTTCTAGAACTTATTGTAGATTTAGTTACTTATACATATATAATTCTAACTATACATATTTCATAGTCTGGAATCCTCATCTTGAACTGAAAAAAGAATTCATTATTTAGAATATTGCAATTTCTTTTCAAGAATTCTCTGCTTATATGTATATGTATGTGTAGATATGAGAATAAAGCTATCAAGCCGTTTACAGCGTAACTGTAACTGTAACTCAATCGGAACTCCCTTTTCAAGAGGGTATCTGCTAGGTGGTCAGCCAAATCAATGTTTTTTACAGACTATCTGCAACTCACTCTTGTGTACAGGGTATCTACAAGCAAATCAACTCGTTTACATGAATAATAGCTAGAGCACTCTTGTCACATAAATTTATAATGTGCCCCAAAAAAGGAAGAAGAAGAAGAAGAGAACAGAAATTGGCTAAACTTTGGTTTTGTGAGTCACACTGAGTCAGCAATGGGATGCATGTGACGACTGTGCCTCGTGGCTGACTGTTGCCTGTTGCATGTAGCTCGCAGCTCGTTGCTCGTTGCCTGTGCGGCAAGTTGTTGCATAAGCAACAATAGCTTGTGCGACTTGTTGCCAGTGTGCCACTGCCCCTGCCACAGCCACTGCTGCTGCTGTCGTTGAGCACTTCTAATCCAATCACACGAACAATGGCAATGCAAATGCAAGCTCAGTCGCAGCAGCTACAGCTACAGCAGCAGCAGCAGCAGCAGCAGCGTGGCTGCAACTTCCTTTGTCTGCCATTGAGAGCCATATGCAACGCAGACGTTGCAATTGCCGCGCTGACTTGCCTTGCCGCTGTGTTGATGGTCAAGGTCATGAACCTGTTCCAATAACTCGTTTTTCTTACGTGCCACACGCACACACACACACACACACTCAAACAGACAGACAGGGAGACAAACAGACAGACAGACGAACGGACGGACAGTTAGACAGGGGTATGGACTGGCAGCCAACAGATGATTGTGTGTTGCATGCTGGCTAAAGTTGTTGCCGCTCTGGCTCTGCTCTAATGCTAATCCTGGCAGATTTGCCAGCATGCCAGCGGCATTTGGCTTTTGCTTCCATGCCATGACTAATGGCTGTCTAATGGTCCAAGCAGCGGCTGCCAAGCGGCAGCTCAAATCAATTTGCCAAACATGAAATTAAATTTCAATTCAACTTAACAGCACACAAACTTGTTGGTGCCACACACACACATAGAGCAAGGACACGTGGCAACAATTTATATACATAGTATATGTATGTCATATATACGAGAAATTAATTGCGATAAATTGTCGTGCGTGGGCGTCGTCCACCTGGCTGATTCATTGTTTTGTTTTTCAACTTCGGCCGTGTTCAGTGTCAGCGAATGAATTATGCGAAATCAAAATGCGATTTGCTGCAAATCAAACAAAGAGAATCCATTCGAGCAAATGCTTCCGTCTGTCAGCGCGTTGAAATTAGAAGCGCATTAATTAGAAATCTTTATTATTCTAATTTTTTTCCATTTCCATTTCAATTTCTATATTTTTTTTAATGAATTCAACACAATAAATTTGAGGCGACATTTGTGCATAAATCGCAAATAAAGATTTCCGTGAATTTCTTTTTATTTTATTTCTGTATATTTTGTGCATTGAGACGCATTCAACGGCAGCAGCAGCAACAACAACAACAACAACAACGGCAACATTTTGTCAAAAGCTGCCCATATTGATAATTGTGCATTTGATGCCCATTGTTGAATTTGTTTGTGTGTGTGGTGCATATGTGTGTGGAAGCAAATACGGCGTGCACTTGTCGGGCTTCGCGCCTTGTTTATTTAGCCATCCCTTACGGAAAACTTTGTTGAGGTTAAAGATCCAAAAAGAAATTTTGAAAAAATTAACAATTGAAAATTATATAATACTTATATTTATACTTATACTTATACTTATACTTATACTTATACTTATACTTATACTTATACTTATACTTATACTTATACTTATACAGATNTACTAAAATAGAATACATAGGAAAATTATATTCTACGGAACTATATTTCTATATTATTGATGTAGTGTAACGGAAATAAGACTTTATGTGGTACATCGGTATATATTATATTTGATCAAACTAACCAGCTGAGTGGATCTGGAGTTTATCTACTGTATTCCTGTTTCTGTGCTCTTTACTCTTACTATTGTTTAACCAGCTGAGTCGATATTGGTTCAATCTACCGTATATTGCAGATTATCTTCTTTTTTATGTTAAGCTGCTCCTTTGATATCATTACTAGTTTGCATTATATGTAATCATTGGAATTTTCTAGAACTTATTGTAGATTTAGTTACTTATACATATATAATTCTAACTATACATATTTCATAGTCTGGAATCCTCATCTTGAACTGAAAAAAGAATTCATTATTTAGAATATTGCAATTTCTTTTCAAGAATTCTCTGCTTATATGTATATGTATGTGTAGATATGAGAATAAAGCTATCAAGCCGTTTACAGCGTAACTGTAACTGTAACTCAATCGGAACTCCCTTTTCAAGAGGGTATCTGCTAGGTGGTCAGCCAAATCAATGTTTTTTACAGACTATCTGCAACTCACTCTTGTGTACAGGGTATCTACAAGCAAATCAACTCGTTTACATGAATAATAGCTAGAGCACTCTTGTCACATAAATTTATAATGTGCCCCAAAAAAGGAAGAAGAAGAAGAAGAGAACAGAAATTGGCTAAACTTTGGTTTTGTGAGTCACACTGAGTCAGCAATGGGATGCATGTGACGACTGTGCCTCGTGGCTGACTGTTGCCTGTTGCATGTAGCTCGCAGCTCGTTGCTCGTTGCCTGTGCGGCAAGTTGTTGCATAAGCAACAATAGCTTGTGCGACTTGTTGCCAGTGTGCCACTGCCCCTGCCACAGCCACTGCTGCTGCTGTCGTTGAGCACTTCTAATCCAATCACACGAACAATGGCAATGCAAATGCAAGCTCAGTCGCAGCAGCTACAGCTACAGCAGCAGCAGCAGCAGCAGCAGCGTGGCTGCAACTTCCTTTGTCTGCCATTGAGAGCCATATGCAACGCAGACGTTGCAATTGCCGCGCTGACTTGCCTTGCCGCTGTGTTGATGGTCAAGGTCATGAACCTGTTCCAATAACTCGTTTTTCTTACGTGCCACACGCACACACACACACATACACTCAAACAGACAGACAGGGAGACAAACAGACAGACAGACGAACGGACGGACAGTTAGACAGGGGTATGGACTGGCAGCCAACAGATGATTGTGTGTTGCATGCTGGCTAAAGTTGTTGCCGCTCTGGCTCTGCTCTAATGCTAATCCTGGCAGATTTGCCAGCATGCCAGCGGCATTTGGCTTTTGCTTCCATGCCATGACTAATGGCTGTCTAATGGTCCAAGCAGCGGCTGCCAAGCGGCAGCTCAAATCAATTTGCCAAACATGAAATTAAATTTCAATTCAACTTAACAGCACACAAACTTGTTGGTGCCACACACACACATAGAGCAAGGACACGTGGCAACAATTTATATACATAGTATATGTATGTCATATATACGAGAAATTAATTGCGATAAATTGTCGTGCGTGGGCGTCGTCCACCTGGCTGATTCATTGTTTTGTTTTTCAACTTCGGCCGTGTTCAGTGTCAGCGAATGAATTATGCGAAATCAAAATGCGATTTGCTGCAAATCAAACAAAGAGAATCCATTCGAGCAAATGCTTCCGTCTGTCAGCGCGTTGAAATTAGAAGCGCATTAATTAGAAATCTTTATTATTCTAATTTTTTTCCATTTCCATTTCAATTTCTATATTTTTTTTAATGAATTCAACACAATAAATTTGAGGCGACATTTGTGCATAAATCGCAAATAAAGATTTCCGTGAATTTCTTTTTATTTTATTTCTGTATATTTTGTGCATTGAGACGCATTCAACGGCAGCAGCAGCAACAACAACAACAACAACAACGGCAACATTTTGTCAAAAGCTGCCCATATTGATAATTGTGCATTTGATGCCCATTGTTGAATTTGTTTGTGTGTGTGGTGCATATGTGTGTGGAAGCAAATACGGCGTGCACTTGTCGGGCTTCGCGCCTTGTTTATTTAGCCATCCCTTACGGAAAACTTTGTTGAGGTTAAAGATCCAAAAAGAAATTTTGAAAAAATTAACAATTGAAAATTATATAATACTTATATTTATACTTATACTTATACTTATACTTATACTTATACTTATACTTATACTTATACTTATACTTATACTTATACTTATACTTATACTTATACTTATACTTATACTTATACTTATACTTATACTTATACTTATACTTATACTTATACTTATACTTATACTTATACTTATACTTATACTTATACTTATACTGCAATGCCCTCCCCTTCCCCTAAGCTTGTCAGCTCTAGCCTTGCCCAAGAATTTGCGAGCTCTCCCCCATCCCTGTCCAACTAATTTCACAACTCGAAAGGAATTCGAAGCAGCCGCAAAAAATATGGTGAAAATATGCAAAAAACAAACTCTTTGCATTTTGAGTGCAAATGACAAAGGGAGAGAGATTTTACAGAGAGAGCAAAAAATGTGCGTTTCACATGAAAATCAATAAAAGAAAAATGAAAAATTACAACAAAAGTATAATACAATTTATTAACAGCAAAAAGTTTTTGTCAAAAAAATGTGCATATTTTTTACAGCATTGTTTTTAGTTTTCATGGAATATTCTTGACCTTTTAGAGTGTGCGATAGTGTATGAATGTATATGTGCGTGTGTGTATGTGTGTATGCGGGTACGTCGTGTTGCGGTTTTTACAAAGCATGTAGAATGCACTCAAACACACACACACACACACACAAGTTTGTGGAAATGTTAAAACAAAAATGTTAATTTAATATAGATATGCAAATGTATAAATGATTAATATATTGTAGAATTTTACTTACTTTCAGTGTGTTGCAATAGTTTTCAGTTATTTGCGTATTTCGCGCACGTTTCAATATAAAAAATGTTTTGTTATTAATACAATTGTGGGATTGTTTGTTTCTTAAATTCTTAGAGTCACAGCACTTGAATTGTCATTAATATATATACATATATACTTCAGCAGGGATTTTGTTAGATTGATTTTTAATTTGGTCTTCGATGAAGGGAAATACAAATTTGTTATCACAAGCGAAACGCACGTCAACTGTTTTGCTAGTCTTTGGGCTAGCGAAGAGGAAGCACATGCAATGCACTCTTACACACACACACAGGCATAGATGAGAGCAGACGCACACTAACACACATGTACGTGTGTGTGTGTGAGTGTGTGTTGGTAGCAGCAGCAGAAAATAAATAAAAATTTCGCGCCGCGACCAACGTCAACAACAAACAAACACCGACACTAACAACAAGCGCAGACAACTTTACTAATACGTAAACAACAAAATCGACTAACTTGACGACGACGTCGAAGTCGACGCTGACGCTGCCGTTGGCGCTGACGCTGACGTCGCTGCTACTGCTGCTGCTGCTGCTGCTGCTGTTGTTGTTGCTGCTGCGCTGCGCTGCGCTTACAACGACAATCCGAAGCTAAGGCAAAAGCGTACCGAACCGTTCGAAACGACCGACAATAAAGCTGCCATCCAGCTGAGCTGCCCGGCACTTTGACTATGAGCTGGAGCCCAACTGAGCGGCGGCAGAATGAGTGCAGCGGCGTGCTGCTCTCCACACACTCACACTCACAATCAAAATCACTCGCACACACTCACACGCACATGACAAAGAGCCAGCCACAATGCTGCGTTGTAAAGGTCTAAGAAAAGTTTCGCAGTTCGCATGCATTTGCCTTGGCTGAGAACAAACCGCTCAAGTTACAACTGTGTGCATGTGTGTGTGAGTGTGTTGAAAAAAAATTGCAGTGGCAGTCAGCGCGCTAGCGAGAGATAGACAGAGAGCGAGAGAGCAACAGAGAGGAAGAGAGTGAGAGAGAGGGAGAGAGAGAGACCCTGGCCAAGTGGGAGGTAGCAGCCGGCTAGCTGCTGTATTGTGTCAATGTATTGGTGCGCTTCATTCATGGCAGCCGGCAAAAAAACGTTAAAAGCGAAATTGGTTAAAAAAAACTCAAACTCACACACACACACACACACTGAGACACACACTCGCAGTGCAGAGAGCAAACAAAAAAATGTAAAGAAAATGGTGGCTAGAATCAACTGGGAGCGCAATGAAAAAAATTTGTCATCTCCTCCTGGCTAAAGAGCGCGAGAGCGACTGCTGAGCGACTGCAGGCGGGGAAGGCCAGTGTCAGTGTGTTTTTAATTGCACTTGGCGCTGCATTAGTGTGTGTAAACACACGCACACACACACAGCGACACACACAGCTGTCTCAGCGCTCAGTTAAATGCACTCAGAACCAAAACGCGCTCTGAGTGCGTTTTTTTTGCAATTTTGTTTTCTTTTTTTTTTTCGTTATTTTTTAGCTTTTTTTCGCTTAATACATTTTGTGCATTTTGCTCTCCATTTTGTAATTTTTCAACAGTTCTTTTTCGGTTGCGAAAACAAGTCCGAAACTGCGACGACGACGACGGCGACAGGCAACGCTTTGTTTAGCGCTGGAGACGAAGACGGAGACGCTCACTCACCGCTCGAAATGCAACTGGCGACTCCGACAACGCGCGCCCGTTGCACATGCACTTTTAGTTGTTTGTTGTTGTTGCTGTTTTTGCTTTTTTTTTTTTTTTTTTTTTTTGAGTGTGCAACGGTTGTGCGAATGTCGAGCGCGTGCGAGAGCAAAACTGAAATTATAATAATTCGCCCAGCCGGACGACAGACGGACGGCGAATTCGACTCGGCTTGCAGCGACTCAATTGCATGTCATTGTAGACGAAAAAAAAGAGGCGAAAATAAAAATACTTTTGAGAATTTTCGGCACAGCGAATTATGGACTCTCGACTCTGTGTGCGAGAGTGAGACAGATTGATAGTGGAGGGGGTGTTGGAGTGGGGGGAGTTGCAGTCTAGCTGTGACTGCGGCTGGGGCTGGGACTGGGTCTCTGCCTGAATTTAGTCGTGACTCGGTTTCAAGGTCTCTCAATTAATGCGAAAATTTCGTTGCAAATGTATTTTCATTTTTTTTATTTTTTTTATTTATATTTATTTTGTTTATTTTTGTTTGCATGCTTGTAACAAAATTCGTGTATAATAAATATAGTAATTGTCTATCTATTTTTTTTACGACTTTAATGCTTTTCTAATAAGCGAAATATTTGTTGATTTTTTAATTGCATTTACATTTGTTAACGGCGACTCTTTGACCTTGGGCCTTGCATAGTCAAGAACTGGCATTTGAATTGGCGAAGGTGATGAAGGCGTATACATACACACATATACTTATGTAAAGCTGTTTGTATATACGTGTGTATAAATGTTTGGTTATATGATACTAGTTGAAACGAGGTTTTGAGCTAAATCAAGCCTTGACTCAAGTTGAAGTTGTTTTTTTTTTTTTTATTTAGAAGCCAATAAGGAATGATTTTTGTGAATCGTGATTCGAGAATACAATGTCTATATAATTATATAGAGTAGTTATATAGTTCTTGGAAAAAATATAAGTCATATGTGATTGATTTATACTGATTGATCTTCGAATTGAGGTGAGTTAAATGCTTAAGCTTAAATCTTAAGGCTTGAAATCTACGGAATTCGAAAAATTAACATCATTGATAATCATATTATATGAAGATAAAACCCTTGCAGATACACAATGAAATTAACAAGAAACAGAAGGGAAATACATTTCAAAACAAACTCGCTTTTAATTCGTGTCCCCTGACCATTCAAGCCGCCGACTTCCGTGTTGAGTGATATAAAAGCATAAAGCAGCTAAAAAAAAAAAAAAATAAAAATAAAAAATAAAACAGCTAGTAATTATGGAAGTACGACTAGAATATACCCTGCTTTTTATATAAAATTATATAATGCCAATAAATAGGTTTGGGCATAAGTAAGCTAGGATGATGGGAAAACGAACTTCTACTTCTCCTATGGATAAACTTGTTTATAAACTTGAGAATAGAGTACAGCCAATATACCCTGCATACCACGTTTTCAATGGGTTTGGGGTACAAAAAAACATACGAGAAATGTCGCCAAAGAGGAACACACATAATTGCAGTATTTACAAGAGATAAAATCGACAACAACATGTAAAAAGCAGCAGCACAAAAAAACTCATAAAATATATATATACTATATATACACGCACGTACATGTGTATGTGTATACATATGCATATTTGTGCATAAAAATCTGTTGAGAAGCAATTAAAATGAAAACCACGTAAGCAAATACGAGGGAGCTCCCCGAAAAAGGCGTTAAAAAGTGCCAAAAAATACAAAAAAAAAGAAGAGTAAAACCCATAAAAACCACCCTATTGCAAAATGCATTTTTCCCCCTTAACTCCTGGCTGCCCCCTTGAGTAACTTAACCCCCTTCGTATACCCCTTCAATCGTACCCTTGCCTATGCACACAAAAGCAAACGTGCAATTATGTTGAATGCATTTCGGAAAAAAAAGTAAAAAGTACCCAAAAAATCGGCTTAAATTGAAACACCTTAATTGGCATTAACTTGAGGCAAGAGAGAAAAAAAAAAAAACGAAAAAAAAAAAAAAAAAAAAAAAACGTCGAAGCGAATGCACAAAAAACAAGTAAGATGCAATTTTGTGCATAATGAAAAATGCAGCAGGCAACAAATGCACTCACACACACACACACATGCGAACACAGATATAATGAAACGCATTGCACATTGTAAGCTGAGCTGTGAAATCCAGACCCAAAAATATATTCTAAAATTAAAATGCGACGGCCTGTCGAAATGTAAACAATCAAAGGGGTGCATGATGCACTCACACAGACACGTACATTTATACATACATATATACGATATACGTATATCTAAAGTACTGCAATTCAGAGATGCCAACTTCTGATCAATGAAAAAAAAAAAAATTTTAAGTCAAAGTTGTTTCAAATTTAAAATAATTTTAAGAAATGTCAACATATTTTAAAAAAATGATAGTAAGTTTTTTAAATTAAAAATGTAATAAGGGTAATGCGAAAAATCAAATTTTAATCAA